GCCGCCCAAATGTTCACGCTAAGAAAGAAGGCGTAACATTTATTCTCGCTGTAGTATTGTTGATGTCGCCGCCTCCATGTCGTGACGGCGCTGTGTGTTTCGTTGTGAAGCGTTTTCATGACATGGCGGTAAAAAACTTTGACTGATAGTGTAGGCTGCTTATTCTTATAGTTTGAAACAAATGTGCCAGGATAAAGAGTATGAAAAGTGCTCCGAGTTGCTGCAGAAAACAAAAAAATTGAGCAACAACAAACATGTTGCTGGAGACGGGCTTATTATTGGAAATGCTAACTGAATCTCTGCCAGCAGGAGGCACTGTGAGAGCGGCAGAAACAGCGGTTCCCCGGTAACGGCTGTAATCAAAGCAGCTCCGCTCATGAACGCTACTTTATCAGATGAAATTAAAATGCCATCAAAACTTAATTAATGAATTCTGAAGACAGTCGGTTCCCTTCAGAGATACATTAATGTAAAACACCCGCGCCACGTTTTGATCTTAAACGTACGTGCTCATGTTTATTCAACGAAGTCAAACGCCACAAATAAACCAATGTATGGGAATAATGTATATCGAAATATCAGAAATGCGTTTAAAATTCATATCACCATTATTTAAAAAAATATATATCGCGATACATATTGATATTGAATTATTTTCCAGCCCTATTATCGATTTTCCTGTTGAAACAGGAAGTTGGGCAGAGACATCATCAAAGGCATTATCAGAAAAAAAACTAGCCAATCGCGTTCAGTTTGCATCACACATGTTCTGCTTCACTAGTCAATTGCAGATGGTGTTGGGGTGAGACATTTATTACTTTGATAAACTTTTAGGAGTAAATATATAAATGATTTAAAACTGATAGATATGGGGAAAGGACCTATTTTATTTTATTTCAAATATTTTAAATATTTCCTTTTACATTTTAATGTAATGGTTTCATTTCATTAATTTTATTATAATTTTTTTTCTTTTTAGTATCATTTGCGCACAAATGTAGTATTTATTAATATTTTGAATAGCTTTTATTTGTATATTTTCAGTTGATATAATTTTCATTTAAGGGTCAGTTTTACTAAACTGGGCAAATTAGCGCGAGAGCGCAATTCCAAAACAGCGCAGATGGGCATGGATATTTCTGTAGGTGATTTACTAACAACACGCAAATTAAAGAACACCGATGCTTCATCTCATTTACATATCGACCAACGCAATATACCAAGCCTAGCGTAAATTAGCGTAGTCGCAACTAAAGAAAAAAACCAAGCCACAGTACATTTTAATGCCAAAAGCCAGTTTGCGCTTACGCAAGGTGTTAGTAAAACTGGCCCTAAGTTTTTTATATTAGTTTAAGTAGTTTTGTGCTTTTGTCGTTTTATTAGTTTTGGACACTAATTTTTTTAAAGTTTTTAAATATTTATATTTTATTTCTGCTATATTCCAATTAACAAAAATTATTTTGAATAGTTCTAGTTTTAGTTAACAATAACAATGCTGAAACTCCAGTTTTGATTTAATGGAATATTAAAGCACAATCATTCTCCTGAACCCCGACATGTTTAGCTGTTACCATATCATGTATTTTTGCACCTATCAATCTATAAGCTTTAAAATGCAACTATCCATTTCATAATTATACATGATATTACATTGTATGTGCTGCTCTTCATTATTCCACCACAGACCAAATGGGAATTATTTTGTAGGAAGTCAAGGGAAAGTTACTTGTGGTCAAAAAAACTCTTTCCTGTTTGGCTTTTCTTTGTGTCCCTTGTTGGGGTCAAGCAGGTCAAAAGGCATTTAGCTCAGCTATTTACAATTTGCTGTGTCATTGACAAACACACTGGTCTGAGGTTTTAACTAGTCTTTCTAGTCTGCATGACAGGCATTTCTAGTAATTATGTGATTATGGTGTTCAGATTGGATATGGGTCCTGAGCTAAATTTGGACCATCTGGCGACATATTTATAGGCCCTGTTCCCACACAATCGGGCATGTATTTACATGTTAACCTAATTATATGGCGACTTGTTTTGTGGTCATCGGAGTAGCCCAGAATTTCCTGCCTTTGACGTCAATGCTGTTTGATTCTTGTACACATGTGTGCATGGCTGCATCTTCATAGCAGACAAGATTTAGAGATTCAGACCACAAATGGGGCAAGATCTAAAAATAAAACCAGTATTTGTCAGGAATAGAAGTGAGCTGCTCTGTAAAGTGGGTGAAATGACAGATGAACACAGTACAGATTGGAAGTCCTCCTCAAGACAGAAAAGTGTCACAGACAGTTTTTCTGGTTCTTTGCTTGAGTTTGGAATATTGAAATTAGAGTTTGGTTGAAGTATGCTGTAGTTCTATGTTAATTGTGTTCATTAAATGATCAGGCAACAAATTATATTTTCAAGCTAATTTCACCACTTGTAGCAATATTTAGCCCCACAGATAATTATGGGTCAGTGGCAAATAACGCGTACCTAGGTCTGTAAAAGTGTCACATTCAGATTAATGTTGGTTTCATATGGTTTGGGGAAAAAAAAAACCTAATGTTTTAATTGCTCTCTTTTGTCCACTTTTCTGATTTCTTTGAAGGTAGGGCTTTTTCTGATCACTCCATCTAATGGACACTCCATCAAGTGTCTACACTACGAAAGCAATCCGGTCAAATGAGTTTTCAGCTACCTCTGGAAGTGATTGAAACTGGACGAGCTCAATTAGTTTCAGACTCCATTTACACCTGTATTTTAGCATTGTCCGCTTGTAATTGGATCAACAAAAATGCATCTTAATACCATGTGTAAACAGGGCCTCAGATAGAGATATTGGTAACACTTTACAATAACTTAATATTTACGTTGTTATTAATTATACCTACATAAACCACAAAATTAATAACACCTGTCAGTTGTGGCTCAGGTAAGAACATTTAAAAGTCACATATATTTAATAAAATTTTATTACATGCACACAGACACACACACACACACACACACACACACACATATATGGAGTGGCCTAGTCAAAGTCCTGACCTGAATCCTATTGAGATGCTGTGGCATGACCTTAAAAAGGCGGTTCATGCTCGAAAACCCTCCAATGTGGCTGAATTACAACAATTCTGCATAGATGAGTGGACCAAAATTCCTCCACAGCGCTGTAACAGACTCATAGCCAGTTATCGCAAACGCTTGATTGCAGTTGTTGCTGCTAAGGGTGGCCCAACCAGTTATTAGGTTTAGGGGGCAAACACTTTTTCACACAGGGCCATGTAGTTTTGGATTTAGTTTTCCTTTAATAATAAAACCCTTCATTTAAAAACTGCATGTTGTGTTCACTTGTTATCTTTTACTAATATTTACATTTGTTTGATGATCTGAAACATTAAAGTGTGACAGACATGCAAAAAAATAAGAAATCAGGAAGGGGGCCAACACTTTTTCACACCACTGTGTGTATGTGTGTGTGTATATATATATATATATATATATATATATACATACATATATACACACACATACATGTATATACATACTTTATTTTATCTAAAAAATAAGTAACATTTATTTCCCAATCTGTACTGTTTGCTATGTTGGTTTTTATCTAATAGGAGCACACTAAAGATGAGCTGGATGCGTGGAAAATCGTTCGGGTGAGTGAGGATTTTCGAGTCATTGCTCTAGGCCTGCCTGTTCCCCGATACAAAGGAAACCCGCTGGATCCACCTCTCCGCTCCCGCTTCCAGGCCAGAGACATCTACTACCTTCCCTTCAAGGTGCTTTCAGACACAGTGAAGCATGTAATGAATATGAGATGTGTCACTAGTGTCCGGCCTCTAACAGTTTATGTTTCTTAAAAGGACCAGCTAGAGCATCTATACAGAATTGGACCAAATGTGCCTCCTGAAAGGTATAGTGGTTTTTGAACATGGATTTTCATCGGCCATATTGTGGACTGAATGCTGAAACGATTTTCTCCCATCTTAGGGTGTCCCAGCTCTTGTCTTTGGCCACTACACTTTGTTCTCAAGAGTCTGCCAGCTTAAGTCTGCCTGATTTCCCTATGGACAATCTTCCATCTGCCCTCGCGGTTCTAGTGAGTAGCAGACTGCATGACGCATCCTACATAACGGTTCATGGTGAAGTGTGTAATTTCTGTATCACTTAACAGAAACAAATGTAATTTAACATTGAGAAATATTACAAGTGTGATTGTGCTGAAATTTAATTTACATTTGGAGAGGCATTTGATTTGTAGATATGTATTTGTAGATCTGGTTGAAGATGATTTGTATCTGTTGCAGAACCTGTTCCCCATGCTGTCAGCGCAGCAGCTGGTCCAGAGGCTTTACCCGTACGAGGTCATGCTGGGAAATGAAGGCCGTACCGCCGTTGAAGGGGTGCTCCGTGTAAGTTTCTCCAATGATAGGGAGCTCACTCTTACGCAAAATAATAATGGGGTTGTGTAGCATAGTAGATAACCTGGGCTGGTAACTAGTGCTGGGCAATATAGCTGAAATAAATTGCCCAGCAGTAGTTATCAGTCCTACTAGTTACTAGTTAATTAAAAAATATATAATAATAATAATTTGTGCTGTCAAATGATGAAAAAATAACGAATAAATCACATTTTTCTATAATTAATCATCATTGTGTTTATATTTCCATACTTTCACATTGAATCTCCAAATTAATGTAGAAACAACATAAAGATGTTATATTTTAAATGTGTTTAATGGCATCTTTTTACAAAGTAGCCTCTTTCTTTTTAATGAAGACCAGTATCATTGATACCAATACTGGTACTTAAGCAGGGTTTCCGCGGGGCCTTAAAAAGTCTTAAATTTAGTTGTATCAAATTTAAGGCCTTAAAAAGTCTTAAATTGTACAAGAAAGTCTTAATTAGGATTTCAAGAGGTCTGAAATTTGGGGACGGAAAGACCAGAATTGTGATATGGCTGAATGTGACGATTAAACTTCAAAAGGCTATGATTTCATTAAATAAACACAAGTGCTGCATGTTCAGCGTCCGGTGCTGCGCTGCTTTGTGTTCTGCCGTTACCGGGGAAACCGTTATATTTCTACCAAACGTTCCACCTGCTGGCAGAGAATGAATGAGCATTTTCAATAAAACGGTTGTTTTGTTCAGAGTTCAGACCGATGCGAAAATGGCCTACGGTTTTAAAGATTAAACTTCAAAAGGCTATGATTTCATTAAATAAACACAAGTGCTGCATGTTCAGCGTCCGGTGCTGCGCTGCTTTGTGTTCTGCCGTTACCGGGGAAACCGTTATATTTCTACCAAACGTTCCACCTGCTGGCAGAGAATGAATGAGCATTTTCAATAAAACGGTTGTTTTGTTCAGAGTTCAGACCAATGCGAAAATCGACCTATGTTTTTAAACAGGCAGAGCTTTGAATATGAACTGGTGGATCAATAAGAAGACAATGCATTATAAAAATCTAAACATAGGGGTGTGCGATGTGTATGGTCTGCGATAATATCGACGTTGTTGTTTTAACGATGTGCGATTTGATATTATGAGTATATCGCGAAAAGCAAACACAAAACACACCTACAGAGTAGGGATGGGCGGATCGATCCTTAAGTATCGATACTTTCGATACTGATGTTGTATCGAAAGGATCGATCCTTACATAAAAATATAGATTCTAAAGTGCATTTAACCATTAATTTAATTTATTTATCAAGAAATTCGGTGCTTAAAAAAGCTTCTAAGTATATTAGCGAATAATTAGGATATAGAACCATTTCTCCTGCTCATCGGAACACACGCAAATGCTGAAAGACAGAACCAATCAATCACAGACAGCGTTCGCTGCTGACGCATGGCTCAGAGTGCTTGTTCAAATAGGGCTGCGTTTCCCAAAAGCATCAGAAGCATAAGTAGATCTTAAGAAGCCATTGCCACATTATTACATTAGCCTACAATAATAAATTCTTGAGCAGCAAATAATATTAGAATTATTTCTGAAGGATCATGTGACACTGAAGACTGGAGTAATGATGCTGAAAATTCAGCTTTACATGATGCTTTCACAGATGCATGTTAAATTACACTTTAAAATATATTTAAATAGAATATAGTTATTTTAATTGTTATATTTCACAATATTGCTGCTTGTACTGTTTTTGTTTTTGTTTTTTTAAAAGTGTCTTAAAAAGTGCAGACTTAAAATAAATATTACTAAATCTTACTGACCCCAAACCTTAGTGTACATGTAATATTTATTTTAAATTGGCTAGTTTGTGCAAGTAAATTTATTTAAACTGGTTGTTAAAAGTTCAAATGGATTGTGTTATGTTCTGTAATTGCTGTTAATAAATCTCTCAGAAAAAAATATGCTAAAGTTTCACCTTTAGGAGTACAACAGCCTGGCAGCCTTTTACAAAAATTAACCATGGTTTTATTACAGTAACCACAGTTTACCACAGTATTTGTACTAAAACTGCAGTAACCACAAATTTACCATGGTAATAATAATAATACATTTTAGTACATTTTGTAACACCATGTTTATTTTTCATGAGGTATCCTCAGTGGTGCACCTTTGTAACTTATCTACCCTTAAAGCATGCATACTTGTATGGTACTAATATGCTCACTTTTAGGGGTATAGTTGCACCTTTGAGGTTATTGCCCCAGTAAAGGGCTAAAATACAATTCTAGTATATTTTATTTCTGACAATGTAAACAAAAAAGGCCTATGAAAAAAACAAACAAAAAAAATATGGGTTTAAAATCTAATGTTAAGTGAGTATAATTACTGATTATTTTCTTTTAATAAGTTAAAAGATCAGTTTAGTTTAGAGGTATCGGTATTGATATCGGCGATACTGGGCTTGAAAATATCGGTATCAGATCGAAAATAAAATAAGAGATATCGCCCATCCCTACTACAGAGTGCACGCATACATTAGGTGATGAAGTCTAGTAGGTTAGACTAATGCGCGTGCATTTAAAGCTCGTTCTTTCACTGCATGAATCAGTCTATTAAAATGCATTAAGAATTATCACAGAATTTAAGATGAGGCAGAAAATGTATATTTTTAAATCATTTGATATAGTTAATATCACACGAAGAGTGCCGTTTTTTTTCTCCAGAAGTAAGCATGATTACAAATGTGATATTGATTTTATACTACAGTTCAATAAACAAGTAGTTAATATTAAAAGACTTATGTTTTAGCCTCCATATTTCCTGTTTTTGCTCTATTTCTCTAACAAAAATCATTCCAAACAAAGCCACAGCGCTGTTTTGTGTCTCTGAGCAACAGGACACAGTTTTGTTCCTGAATGAATCAACTGTTTAAAAGATTCGGTTCAAACACAATGACTCACTTATTAACAATGACTTGCTGCCGCCTGCTGGCAGTTTTAATTTCACCTTTAAGGTACCTTTTCATTTTTTAAATAATTTCAAACATCAGTTTTCAATGTTTTATGTTTAAAATATCAAAACAGTATTTATGCGTTTGTAACTGCAGGTTAAAGTATTTAATGTCCCTCAGAGCTGCATTAAACAGTGTGTAAATGCATCTAAATGACACTTCTAATGCAGCTTCTGTGTTTCCTCTGCATTGCAAAGATCAATTTTGTTGATACTGATTTAATTTGCTTGGTAACAGCCCAAATGCAAGAATTTGACTCAAAAGATGGTGCACACTTTTAGAAAAAATGGCTTAAAGGTAAAAATGCCCATAAAACGAGTTGGAAATTATTAATTCCTATTACTGCTGTGAACTGACCACACAGAATATGAAGAATATCAAAAAATTCAGGAGTCAGCTGTCCACGGTAGTCCTTAAGATATCAGCACAATAACACACTCAGCAAAATATAGTCTAATTAGCGCTATCGATAAAATCCCAGAAAATTATCGAGATGTCATTTTTTGTCAGTATCGCACACCCCTAATTTGTTAATTAAATTGATATAATAATTTATTGATAATAATTGTTTAAATTAATATAAAAATTATTTTGACTTAAAGGCTGAAATGTAAAGTTTATCGTTTTATAAAACGTTATTTTTGTGAAAACTTGTATCTGAATTGTAAATTATGCTTTTTACAGTAATTTTACAGTTTAATATGGTACTATAAACATTGCCCTACCCCGCTCATATGGTATTAATTTTATTTGTGCAGGTCTTAGAAAAAGGTCTTAAAAAGTCTTAAATTTGAGCTTTAAAAATCCTGCAGAAACCCTGTTAAAGGGAACTTAACAATCTTAACACAAACTGTAAATTGTATATGCATAAACTATACATTGAAGATAGATTAATCTTTATTCAAGCTACAAAAGTTCATCAGCATGAGTGATTTTTACTTTTCTATTGTTCTTTGATTTACATCAGTGACACTGACCGCAGCAGGAAAAAATGAATGCTGCGTTAATTGCGTTAAATATTTTTAGCGTGTTAAACTGAAAAAAAAATCACTCAGTTAACACGTTAATTTTGACCGCACTAAAAAAATAAAAAAATAAATAAACTAAGAGTTACTTGCATTTATAGATTTACATATTTCCACCCACAAGATTTTACACCAGGTGCGAGTTATAAAATAAAACAATAAAAATATAATTTATATAATAATATATAATTATACAATAATACATTTTTTTTTTAATATATTATTTATTATTGTATCTATCGGTCTTACTATCTATCTATTTATACCAACACACACACACACACACACACATATATATATATATATATATATATATATATATATATA